ATCCGCAAAATATGGACCTATTGTTGAAATAAATTAGCTGTCTGTTGAAACGAACATCATTGGTTTGATGAGAGCACGATCTTTATGTAATGAATATGTTCGCCGTTGTAAAAGATTATTACCACTTTTTTGGACGTAAATATAAGTGCCATCAAGAATAATAATAGCTTTGTCCTCACTTGGTTGATCGAACAGTAGTTTGGCAAGTGGACGAGTATGATTATCGATGAGTTCTCGTCGAGTTAAATGCGAAAATCCCAAATATTTTGGTACGAAATGCTTTATTATGGCGGTACGTGCACTGTCAATAACACGACTAACTGTTCGTCTATCAAGCAATGAAAACAACGAAGCAAGAGTCTGATTACTCAGACTCAATCGTAACTTAACGAGCAGACAGCCGATAGATTGACGAGCGGAACGTAAACTTGTTTGCCTGAGACTTGTTGATGGAATATGAGAGCAAAGGTCAAAGAAATTTTCCTTCGAAATGCCGGTGAGATTTAAGTATTGATCTGTTGTCATTTGATCGTCATCAAAATCAATAGGTAAACGAGACCGTGCTTTAGTTAGTAGAGATTGAAGTTCATTAAATGAAGTTCGAGTATCGTTCAATAATTCCATTGGTTCGTGGTCAGAAATTGCACACATATTTGGACCTTTTTTCATCAAAATGATGGCATCAGACTTAAATTCATCATCATGTAAATGTTTTCTACAACATGTAGTACCATTTGGTATAAAAACATTGTGAGTAAGAAGCATGTTAAATCGTGCAGATTGTTTTATCAATGAACATGGTGATTTCGACTCTGAAAAATAGATGTTGCATACGCAGCACCGGTCTTTCGAAGTTGATAAACGTCGTAATGGTAATTGAATTGTATTAGAATGAGATGCAGAACCATCAGTTGTAACCCTTTGAGTGCCGGATTATTTTTATATAATAAAAATTTTTATAATTTCAAACTAACGTTTATTTCGCAAAAAACATCACAAAGTGCATGAATTGAAATGCTTGTAGAGTGTGATATTCTTTAAAACAATCCATAAGACACAATCCTACGTCACATTCAATGCATTCATACGAAGTATCTCTTGATCTAGCTCTTCTCACAGTATTGGCACAAACGCAATATTTTCTTCTTGGATTTAGTTGAGTCTCTGTTGATTCAATGCGCGAAGGAAGATGTCGTGCTGTGAGTCGCAGTGGACTTTTAGAAGATGGTCGACCGATTGAACTTCGCACCTGGCTACCATATTTTCCAATAATTTCTCTAATCACCTCAAGCTGATAAGTAGCCAAACGAAGATTAACATTTTTTTTCAGTTTGTATAGAACATATACATTATAAATCGTAAGATCCAGCAGATGAAAAAAGAACTTTTTGTACCACTTTACTGATCAACGAATACACTCCGAGAAGCTTATTTGGATGTCATATTTATCGACCAAACCTACGTACTCATTATATTCTTTCACACAAAGAGATATTATCTTCGGCTACTTCGTTGCAAAGTGAACTTTTTCAGTTGGAACCATAATTGGTTCATGAAGTGTAGATAACATTGTGACATCACGTTTATCAATCCATTGTAATGCAAGTAAGTTGTCAGTGTGATAAAAAAATTTGCTCCCCAGATTCCTGTATCTTTTCAAAGATTGGTAAACCAACTCAACTTTTATTTACAGTTCCACATGCTCCTGTTCTATATTGATGAAGATATTCAAATAAAGTGGGACTGGAATAGAAACTATCTACAAATAATGAATGACCTTTATTCAAGAAGGGTTCCAATAAAGTTGTAACTATAGATCCAGTGACACCAAGATGTTCTTGATAGTTGAGTGACGTTTTAGAACCGGCATAAACTATGAAATTCATTATAAAACCTATTTTGCAGTCACAAAGTATAAACATTTTAATTCCAAATTTATGATGTTTTGATGGTATATACTGTTTGAAATGTAAACGGCCTTTCCATAAAGTTAAGCTTCGTCAATGCAAAGGTTTTTATATGGACTCAAAGAGCACAAAAACCTTTTTTTTAATTCATCAATAATTGATTGTATTTTGTAAAGACTATCTTTAACAATTTGATTTTGGTTTTTATTGAAGTGCAGATTAGTAAGTAAAGCTCTGAATCGATTTCTAGTGAAAAGTTCAGCAAATATTGGTGTTGCAATAAGATGATCAGTAGACCAATAATCACAAATACGATTTTTTTTCGAATGAGGCATCAACATAACCGTAGCTAAAAATGTATACATTTCGTTGATTGTTGTATCGATCCATGGAGCTGTACGACTATAGCTTGTCCATGCAGAATTTGCATGAAATCGATTAGTTTCTTTAACAATTGTTTCAAGTAGTCGTCGATCGAAAAATAGTTTGAAGAAGTCAAATGGTGTTTCGAGAGCAAGATTTTTTATGGTGAAAGATAATTCACAACTACTTGAATCAAAACTAAACAAACGCGGATTGAAATTTCCTTTTCTCAAGTTTCTCCTTGTAGTAGATATTTTTTCAAAAGAAGCTGTGTATTCTTCATCCCAATCACTGCTATATTCAACCTCATCAGAACTTTCATCATATGAATAGTCTCCAGACTCATTGCCAGATTCTGAATCCATTATTATTCGATTATTTCTTTGTTAGATTTCTCGTTGAAAGCAGCTTCACTTTGTGAATAATAGACGTCACAGAAATATAGGATATGTTGAAATAAATCACACTTTCGTTTGAATAATAAGAATGAAACAAATATATATATATATATCGCAGGGAGAATAAGAATCTACTCGAAGGCTCGTAAAAGAATATGAGAAAATAGAAGAGAGATTATGACGTCATTCTACGATTAGAGAAAGATAAAGAAAAATAATATATATGAGTCAGAAGTTGTCGACATTTGTTCTTCGTGACTTTTTATATCAAAAAGTGCACTCTACATTAGTTATCAAATGTGATCAATTGATCAGAACCTTTACTATAGATAACACTCTTGAATGACTGTGTTAATATGAAAAATCCTGTTGATAACGATTATTCTTTCTTGGGAAATGTAGTCCAATGACTTATGTTCTAATTCATTGAATCACATAATGGTCGATAGAAATATTAGAGAACAACTAATATTCATCACTAGGTATAGATAGTCTTAACCGTACAAATATCCTAGACGCAAATATTCATGTAATTCATATCATAAAATAATCAAACGATCATGTTTTCTAAAGTTATTCAGACCCTAAACTATCAGGACGCGAACTCGCGTCGCCGGTACTCAAAGGGTTAAACTAGGGTGTGAGTACGGATATTCTCTTCGCGAACACCCATACCCACACCCTAGGAAATACCGCGAAATTTATTCCCAAAACTAGTATTATCAGTAAAAGGGGGTGTTTTTGGTCGACCATTACCCTCAAAAGTGATACCATTCGACGCAGAATTGAATTCTGCAGCTAATACGAGTGGTTTCAGAAACAACCAAAGTAATATAGCGAATCCGGACAAAGAAAGCCAAATCTGGTGCTAACTTTACTGATGTAAATGATACTCTTTTCGGCACCTGGTCAAAAACTCAGTTTTTAGAGTGACCTCAGTGTTTTACACTTTTCTCCGCATCCGTTCGCGCTTGAGGACGTTTCAAAAGATGCAGAAATTTTTTTCTCTACAAAATTGGGTAACTGATTAAGTTATACAATACCATTCAGCAAATAATAATCTCAATACACGAATGAAAATATCTTTAAACTATTTGCATTGATATTTTCGTCTTTTGAAGCAATACGTTATACAAATGCAGAATCTCAAGGACTTCCTGAAAATATATAAATTAATTTGGGATAGCATGATTCAAGATGGCTACGATCAAAATACTATAAAATCATGAATTTAGATAATGGTCATTTTCGTTCATGTATTGAGATTGTCATTTGATGAATGATATTGTATAGCTTAACCAGTTATCCGATTTTGTAGAGAAAACATTTCTGCATCTTTTGAGATGTCTTCGAATTCGAACTAACAACCGAATACAGAGAAAAAAAATGTAAAATACTAATAGCACCTAAAAATCTTGATTTTTGTATCAAATATAGAAGGGTATATCATTTGTATACTTTGGCATTGTTCACAGAGAAGCCAGAAAGAGCCAATATTTTGGATTTAGAGGTTTTGAATAATGATCTATCTTTTGAGGTACCTGAATCAAGGTATAAATTTTAGTTGCGACCGGCTTCTGATAAAAATTGTAAATGGTCTCACGAACCCTCTCTTGAGCACTATAGGGACAAAATTAAAATGTTCATAACTCTTGAAGGACGTGCTAGGGGAACACAAATCCTTTTTAGAATTTTTACTTGAACATTGAGCAGTATCTATAGGCAAAAAAAATCGTTGAAATTGAAAGAGAGGAGAACCATCTGAAAAGATTCGCTCGTCAATATGATCAACGCCCATCGTCCAGATTATTTTTTGCGCGACCCACAGATAATCAATTGAAATCTAGAATTCGTAGAAAACTGTTCTAATTCTTGAAAAGTACAAGGTAGACACATCAAGTCTGAGTATTGGAAAAGAGAACTATTTTCTTTGTTGGCTACATATTTCTAAAACTTGAAATTTGATGTAAATTTCTGAAAATGATGATAGTTTTATCAAGACTCGCTTGACAAAGCTTTATGAAACTAATGGAAAAAAAGTGTTCTGATATAATTCGATGTGTTCCATAGTTATGTAGCAGAGGACGAAAATCGTTTCATTATGTCTGTTCGCGTTCTCGAGCTATTCAAGTTTCTGTAATTGATCCTCTATATTGAAATGCAAAGAAGTTTTTTTTTTCTTTAATGAAAATAAACGTCAATAATAATAATAAAAAAGAAAAAAGAATGATAAAATTATCTACAAAAAGAGTTAATTGAAAAAACTGAAATTGAAATAATAAAAAAGAAAAGGTTCCTGAAAGAATGGATTAAAAATCTTCGGACAGTTACATCATGTTGTTGTAGATGAAAATAATTTCTTCTTCTTATTTGATCGATCTCTATTGGCTGATATTGATTTAGCTAAATTGGCTTCAAGTCTTGAACGCATTAAACGATAAATAAGTGCTGATTTCGTTAAAGGTTCAACAGAATCTTGTTGAGATGAATAATCATCATATTCCCATGGATGTGATCTATGAACTATTTCTTTAATAATTAAAGGCTTTTCAGGTAGTAAACTTTGACCACGTAATGTTGCTGAACATGAACGTGTTTTATTTATTTTTTGAAAATTTCCAGGTAAATTTGCTGTTGGATTATCACCACCAGTTGTTGTTGTTGTTGATGATGTTTCAGAAGAATTTCCAGATGAACTATTTGACAATTTTTCAATTCGATTATTTTTTTCATTTTCGTTTTCGTTTTCTTTCTCTTTTTCTTTCTCCTGTTGTTGTTGTTGTCGTTGTTTAAGCCATGTACCTGTTATTAAAAACAAAAAAAAAAATTCTAATAAAAAAGAGAAATTAAAAAAAAACAAGAAAACAAACCGAGTGTTTTGGTATCAACCACAGTAAGTTGTCTTCCAGTGACAAGCCAATTTTGATCTTTCTGATAAGAAGAAGTTGATGCAACTGCCCCGTGTCCCTATGTTTGAAGTGTTGGAATATGTTTTGTAGGAGTTGAAGATTTTGAAACAAGTACAAGAGCTTTAGGACCTCCAATAGCTAAACGATCTTTTTGTGTTCGATCTAAATTTTTCCATTCTTCAGCAATAACAGTTGCTGGTTTTAATATTTCAAAATTAGTTTTATATCTTTGAATTGTTTGATATCTCATAACCATTGTTTCACTTGATGGAGGATTAACTATTGGAAATGAATGATTTGTTGTTGTTAATGATGATAATATTGAATCTGATGAACGATTTACTTTTGGACGTTCAACATTTGTACGATTTATATTTGGTATAACATTTTTTTGTGTAACAGATGTTTGTTGTTGATCATTATTTTTTGATATTGTTTTTGGAGAATTTGGTGGAGAATTATTTGTATTTGTTTTAGGAGATGGTGCTAATGGAGGAGCAACAATTGGAGGAAGTTTTCGTGTATTTGGTGAAGATGATGCTGCTCGTCTTTGTTCAATATAAGGTAATGAACCTTTTCTTTCTAATTCATTATAAATACATCTAAATCCTTTCAAAGATTTTAATGGAAAGATTTTTTGATTATGACGAAGTTTTTCAAAACATTCAATTGATAATACTTTGTTTTTTAAAATAAATAAATAAATAAGTAGATTAAAATAAAATCAAATAAATAAACTTACAAATGGATTCTTTAACAACAGGAGGAATAGCTTGAACAAGTGTATTTGTATTTGTTGTTAATGCTGGATTAACATTTATTTCAATTAACCAAACTTTCATATCTTGATCAATCATAAAATCATAACCATATAAACCAAAACAACCAATACGTCTTTTTAATCTCATTCGAATACTTTCAATTACATTTAACATAATACGTTGAATGGTTTTCTTTGAAATATTTTCTTATTTTTTTTTTAATTATTTATTCATCAACTATTTACTTACAGGTAATACATTTAGAACCCAATCTTGTTCAAGATTTTTACTTGATGCAAGATTTTTATTAACATAATCACTAAATATATATTGAATTTAATATTAAAAAAAATCGAAAATAAATTCAAATACTTAAATTGTTCCATAGTCCATGCTGTGTCTTCTTTAATATCGTAATATTTTGGATCTTTTTTTTGCATATACTTATTTAATTAAATAAATTAAAATAAATATTAACAAAAACAAAAATAAAAACAAAAAACCTGATTAGTAAGATGTGTAAGAAGATTTTCATCATTATTATCAAAATCAAACATTGAAAGTCTAATATAACCTGAATGATAAAAAATCAAAAGTGGTTTAACACTTGATATAAGCATATAACATCGAATATCAAATTTTTTTCCTTGAACTAATAATGGATTCATAATATAACTATTTTAAAAACAAAAAACTTTCTTTAATAAGAAAAAAAATAATAAATAAAAAAAAAACAAACCGTTGAATAACTCTCTTCATTGGTTTGACTGATATTTGTTTTTTCCTGTCCATAGCATCAATTTCAGCAAATTTACTTTTTAAACTTTCAATATCTCGAACAAGATAAATTCCTTTTCCTATATTTAACAAAAATTCATTTTTTTTTCTTTTTATTATTTTAATGAAAATAAAACCTTTACCTTGATTAAGTCCACTAGGTTTACAAATCCAAACATCACCAGCTAGAAAACAAAAAGACATTGAAAATAATTTTTAAAAATTAGAAGAATTCGAATAGACAAACGTTTATGTGTATTGAAAAAAGCATCTCGATCATTTTTTTCATCTAATTTAAATGTTTCAGGAACAAATTGATTTAATGGTAAAAATTGTAGTGAACGTTTTTGCATAGTCATTGAAATTTTTTCATATGTTTGTAATGATTGCCATAATTGAAGTTTAGTTGTAAAATAATCTTCACCTTGTATATGATTAACCATCTGTTCACCATCTTTAAATGAATTCCAATTAACACTTTGATTACATTGAACCCATTTTAATTTAAAATCATCTGTTTTTTCGATTTGACGTTCATATCCAATTGATGTTAAAATACTTTCAATTCTATTCAATTTATAAACAATCTTTTTTTTGAATTTTCACTATTATAATAAACTTACAATTCTGAATTATTTCCAACTCCAATATAACATTTTGGTTGAGGTTCTGTATAAAGTGTATTTTCTTTTTGAAGTTCATTTTTTTTTGAATGATTTGATGTTTTTGTCTCAGTTGAAGGGACATTTGGATGATCAGATGTTGATGGTGACTGATTTTCTTCAGCCATCAATCTAATAAAAAATTCATTGAAAGATTTTCAATATACGAAATAAACCCTAAGATGATTTTATTTTTTTGTTTCAGTGGAACAAATAAAAAGAAACCTAAAATAAATATTGTTTTCCTTGCTATTGACAACCAACTATGCCATCTTACAAAACAACAAAACCATTTTTTTTTCTTCTTTTTAAACAAATATTTCTAATTGAAAAAGAAACATTAATCTACATTGTTAAAGACATCTGTTCATAATAAAAAAAAGCTGAGGTCAAAATGCGGTCATCAATAGAACTCACAATCAATAAATCATATTGATTATTATGAATATGTCGATGTTTCCATAATGAACTATTCAGAATAAATGAGAAATATACATTTGATTTGTTCCTAACGTTGATGTTGTTTCTCAATAGAAAGTGAGAATGAATAGATGTGAAATAGATGCGATAAAAAAAGCCGACGAGAAGAGAAAAAAAAAGAACTGTTGCTGCTTGTACTTTTTCTTCTTGGTCGATTTCTTTGGCATCCTATTGAAGAACGAACGCAACAACATGAAGAACATGCTCACCATCAACGTCTATCGACATTTATTCAACAACAAAAACATCGCTGTCAATAACAACCCAACAGTTTTTAGTCTTTCTTTTTTAAATAAAAAAAAACTCTTTTATATTAAATCAAAAATGCAATTAAACTCAAGAGAATTTCATTTTTTTTCTTACCACTGATAAAAAACATCAACCTTCAGTGGCGAATCGAGGATGTTTGTCAAGTGGGAGAGGGAGGAGGACGGAGGAGGGGCAACCAAACGCAAAAAAAATCATTGTCGAACCTTAATGGAAATTGTATGAAAACAAATTTTGGTCAATTTTTTTTCAGAAATATCGAAAAAATGCTCGAAAATAGAGATTGATAACTCATTCTCTCATAAACTTGTTATTGTCAGCCTTTTTACATGTGTTTTAGACTATTTTATTTAAAAAAAAATGATGTAGTTTTTGAAAGATTGTTTTTATTATTTATTATTCGACATGATGACTAATTTATTATTTAATAGAATATTTCATTTCGAAAGTCAATTGAATCGTTCAAAATGTTTGATCGATAAGAGAAAATAATTGAGATTGATTTCTATAATAAAAAAACGAAATTTATTGTGCTTCTTTTAATTATTCTTCTCATTGAATGAATATCGAATTTGAATTTTTTCTTCTTACTAGTTTTTCTTTAATAATTTGAAAATGAAACAAATATTTCATTGTTTTATTTAAACATTAAAAATGATTTTCAAAATAAATTGAAAAAGAAAAAAAATGTTCACATAAAATCTCGTTCATTTTTTTAAACATTTTAACTTGTTCTATTTTAAGATTAAGAATATTTTCATTGATAAAAATTCAATTTGAAGTCGATATTCAAAAACAGATATGATTTTCTATTGAGATTCATTTATCTTCAATCAGATATTTTCTTATATTTTATTCGACGTTTAGTTGTAATATAATATATTTCTTAAAAAATTCAGCAAGAAATTTCTTCTAAACTATATTCTAGTCAAGAAAAAAATTTTATTGTATTATAGAGGAGCTTCATTTTTATTGCATTGAATAAATATGATGTGATCTTGATCGGAATGATTTCGATCAATCTATGGAATAGAAACCTTTAAGAAGTAATCAATTCCAATCTGTTTGTCAAATGAATCGATTCAAACAACATCAGAATTGATAAATATTGAACA